AAAAAACTGGTTGAGCAAAAATGTTTCGGCTCACTAAGTCACAGACATTCTTACTCAGCATCACAATTTGATTTCGTCAGTAAGACGGTTGTGGTTTTCGCGAAATAAATTTGTACAAGAAAAAAGTAACAGTTAGGTCGTTCAGCCAACAGTGCTTGGTGGGCTCGCATTCAATTTTTAATTCATCTTCGAAACAGAACAGCACAACTTAATTTTTATTTAACTTATCTACGCCGCTCTGTTGCGCTTTATTTTTAGGCCCGGCTTCATCTACTTTTGTCTGTTAGAGATACTCTTACGGACTTCGGTTCATACGATTCCCACAATACTTTCTTTGAGATAATGTTCGCTCAAATTTCACTTAGATCCGAAGTTAAATGTAAAAGATGAATAAATATCATAATGTTACCTCACCAAAAACATTATTTAACAGTTAACAAAACAATTTTCGCCAACAACGAATGTACAATTTCCTCGATGCATTTTTTGTAAACGAATGGGACGCGTGAGGAAGTAAACAGCCTTCGAACTGATGGTATACAAACACCGAAAAAGTGATTGGACTAACTGGAGGTATGCAGCTCAGGATTGCCCGGCCTGGCATAAGTGCGCCCAGCACGAAGGAGCATCAGGTACTATTGTTAGCGTGGGATACCACAACAACTGCCCGGATACTCTCGATATTCCAAGTACTTCAGGTATTTACAAAAGTGCGGCTGGGACAAAAAATTCGCTCGAAAATCGAGTTTTTAACAAAGAATGCTTAACACTATCAATATTGGCAAACTGCTTCATCACTACTTTCAGTTTCGGAGGTAGACTCAGGCAAATCCATTGGTCGCTGTTTCATTTCGCTCGCTTGTCGCTGCATTTCTTCCACATAGGCATTTTGCTTGGCAATCACTTCGGCACCAGTTTTACAGGATGCGTACACGGACAAAAGCTCTTCATTTAATTTTAAGAAATTCATTCCCCAACTAAATTTGTCTAACAATGGGACTGCTTTCGATTTCAGGCCAATGATGCAGAGACCGGCTGCCAGTGCTTCTACGCAGCTCAGCTGGCATGGCTTCCCAAAATTTACTGGATTTGCAGCTACCAGAAAAGGCAGAAGACGATGATGCGCAGCTTTAATTCTGTGCAGTGGTGTACCATCGACCTAAAATTCCGAAACGTATCAAGTAAAGCATTTCTGGGGGTTTTTTTTTTCTTGCTGAAAACAGGCGAGAAAGCCGTGCTGACGGATCCGGGTTCGATTCTGGCAGTGAGACAAACTCTTACGATTCGCTCAGTCGTTCCCAGGGCAAATTGGTACTGGTGCTTGCCAGTAAGGCAAACTCGTTATTACCTTGCTTTTTAAGCAATCCTCGGGAGGTAGAGCCACCAAAACGCTTGCTGACGAATAGTTGTTTTTGGCTCGTGCTACTCAACGGGGTGCCTTGTAACGAGTGAATGCGGTGAATGAGCTGAGTTCTGGTTTGGGAAGTTCGTCGCAAAAATAATTTTAATCATAGCATGTGCTGAAGCAAACCTGATTCCAGCTGCAGTCCACCACGGCCAAGCCACCTGCAAGCACGAAACTGCGATCTGCTGCCGAAAGTGTCCGATTAGCACTGGGTGAAAGTACCAGTCCCCCAAATTTGCTTCCTATTTTGATGACTTTAACAAGGCCGTGGCGCATCAGCTTCCTTCCGGTGCAGCGCTTCGGGTCACACTGCTTGAAATCGAACATCCCTGAAACCAAATCACAGTATTCGGGATTCCCTTCAACCGTCTTCCGTTACTTCGACATGCTTCTTCACTTACGCCTGACAACCGTCGATTCATTCACCGACGTAACTGAGCGGTCCTGCAGCATCCATCTGGGCGTTCAGAGTTAGTTGCCTCTAGTGTGTGCGCCTCTGCCACTCCCAGATAACACAGTGGGATTCTCAAGCACAAGCAAAATAACTTGAAAAACTTTTGTTAGAAGCATTCGAGTTTTCTATGGATGAAAAAGAATTACCTAACCGAAGAGGTGGCAACTGTCCGGCACCACAATCCGTCGTCCCAGTGCTGCTGCTGCTGCTTTCACCTGAGCTCGATGCACGCTTCGGAGCAGTGCCTCCCCGACTGCATATCACTTCTTCGGCACATCCAGACATCTAAATCCGCCAAAAAGCATACATTACCACAGATGCATCGGATTTCATATTTACACTTCGGAAAAGCAAACGGCGCATCCGTTATTAATCTGGTGATAGTCAAAACCAAAGGTGCACTCAGTACGACGCCCATTACATGCACCACGCGCCCCAGAGACATACACGGAACACCTACATCAGCTGGCAATTGCTTTGGCACATGACTTCTTCACACAACAAAATAATTGGCTAACGCAGCGGCTGCCGGTGCGAAGATGCGTTTTTCGTACAGTTCCCCGCAATTTTTGTCGCTATCGGCATCGGTTTTTTCAGCAGATGCTTCTAGCTAAACAAATTAAGACTGGCCGCCAGGACTGTCAGGAAACACCCTTTTAAAATTTCAGCTTCCTAGCTTTCCTGGATTCCGAGTTAGCAAATTACCTGCAAAAAAAAATCCATGGGCCCGTACGTAGGAACTATGCATAGCTAGGGGGAGGAGGGGGAGGGGCGGTGGATTTGAGCTCATCAATACCTATTTGGATGTGGAACATTTCTTTAAAATTCCAGTCTTCTAGCTTCTCAGGTAACCGAGTTAGCAACTTACCCGAAAAAATTTCCACGGGCCCGTACTTGGGTAACACACATACCCGGGGGCTGAGTTTGAGCTCATTAATAGTTGCGCGGACGGGAAGCGCCCACTTAAAATTTCAACTTTCCAGCTTCTCTGGTTCCCGAGTTAGCAGCTTGCCCATAAAAAACTTTGGCTGACCCGCACGTGGGTGCCACGGGGATAGGACCGCCCATGTTGGGGATGGAGGCCGGAACATGCATGTTAAGTTCCCAAAATGTGACATCTTCATAGCTTTTATAGGTTTCGAGATGAAAAATCGGTGCGGACGAACACACAGACAACCCTTCGTCAATATGCGTTTTCTGCACTGCATAGCTGTAAATTTAGTCGAAAGAATACCTGCTGCCGGTACAAGGATGCGTTTTTTGCACAGTCCCACCGCAGGTTTTTTTCGCCAGTAGCACATTCTACCCGGCAAATGCTTCTAGCTAAAAGAATTGGGACTGGCCACCACGACTGTTAGAAATTATTACAATGACGCCCAGAAAATTCAGCGCCCTGGATGCTTCGGTTGCGGAGTTTCACCGGGAAGCGCTCAAAAAGTTTCAGCACTCCAGCTGCTATGATTGCGAAGTTATGTCAAATTTCACGTGTGTATACGTGAAACGTACGTAAGATGTAAAAGTGATGTGTAAGTTGTTTTTGCGTGCATCTGGTCAAAGAACACCGTCGGTTATACTCAAAAAGTTCAGGCCCTTTGAACGCATTCGCACGTGAGATGCAGAAGAGCTAACAAGCAATTTACTTCCTCGGGCACAACAGCAGGCGACAAGTAAAGCTGCAAAATTGCAGCTCCCTGCAGCTTATTGGTCAGGTTAAATCTGGAGTTGGCGTGATGCCAGTTTAAACTTTGACGTGTTCGTACGTGAGACCTGAAGGTGCGTGAAGGCTGAATTTAAAATCTTTGGATTAGACGCTGCCAAGGAACATCTTTGCGAAGTTCCAGCCTCCTAGCATGGGCCTTCCCGAAAACGCTTTTCCGCCCAAAAAACTTTCACGTGTCCCTACGTGAAAACCATGTGGGCTTGAGTGTCCATTTTCAGGATACGAGCTCGTACTATGTGTAGACTAAGTTACCAAATTTCCAGTCTTTTGTGGACCTCAAGATGAAAACTCGTTACAGACGCGCACACAGACACACAAGCACACAGACACATATACACAGACAACTTCCAACAATATGCGTTTCTGCGTTACACAGCTGCAAAAAACGCGTAAAAACGATCAGCACTGTGCAGCGTAACTGCGAACAGCGAGCCGTCCAACGTCCTCTGTCTGCAACCATCTTTCCACAGCACCAACTACACCTCGACTCGGCTCGACCGGCGCCATACACGATCTGCGAAAAATTTTTCCTGCCTAACGACAGGTGTCCTTAGGCCACCGTCGCAAAGGAGTCGAATATCGCAAGTGAGATGTGTGTGAGAC